GTAACCAGGTGTCTGGATGTAACCATGTGTCTGGATGTAACCATGTGGCAGGCTGTAACCATGTGTCTGGATGTAACCATGTGTCTGGATGTAACCATGTGGCTGGTTGTAACCATGTGACTGGTTGTAACCATGGTTACATCCAGACACATGGTTACAGCCAACCACATGGTTGCATCCAGACACACCAGGCACCTGGTTACATCCAGACACATGGTTACAACTGACCACTTCTGTCTGTGAGGTTACCCGCGGCGGGGAACAGGCATTCCTCCAACAAACAGATGTTGGACGTTGGATATTCGAGCTCCGCGGCTTCAGCGGGGTGCTGCTCTCGTCAATCCGCTTCAGGCTGTCTGATTTCGGTCAGCCGCGCTCAACCTGCCCCAACTCAGAGACGTAATGGTTCACTTAGGGACTGTCAACAAATTATCGAGCGCAGTCACTCTTCAGAAATAAAAAGCAATATATTTGACATGATTTGCCCCACTCACCCAAAACTTAGATAAAACTACTCTACAAGATTAGTCAGACGATGCACACGGGTTTATTTATCATTTTTATGCATTTCATAATATTAAAATAATTTAAATGGTCATACATCAGGGTTTTTGCTCAATAACGTTTCAGTCTTTTGACCCACACACACAAAACTTGCAAACTACTCTCTAAGACCAGTCAGACGAGGCACACCTGTTTATTTTTCATTTTTATGCATTTCATAATTTTACATAATACAATATACATAATATAATATATTATTTACATAATATATCTTTACAGAGGGTAGGGTATTTTGTGTGTGTGTGTGTGTTCAAACAGTAAATATAAATATTGATTGGGCGGGTTTTTGTGTGATCGGGCAGTATTTAACAAACTTTTGGGCTGGAAAACTTCGACTATCTGGCAACACTGCCAATCAATATATTGTTATATGTACTGTTGGAACACACACACCCAATACCCCCCACCCCCTGTAAAGATATATTGGTGTTTCTACATTCATTAATGTGATTAAGCATAAACAGTTAAATGTGAATGTTCGTGTAATTTATTCAGAAAATCAACACGTCACATTTCAGGATCTGGTTATTATAGACACAGATTAAATGTTCAATATGAATATTGCTATATTTATCACCAGACTAATAGTGTTACACACATTAGTAGTTGTAAACACTCAGTGCATAGGCCTATTTTTGGTTTAGTTCTTACCTTTACCATAAATATTTTAGGAGTAAACATTTTTAATAATCACTTTAAAAGTTATAAATGTTGTATTTGTTGTCTGTTTTCGAAATACATTAGTGTATGTGAATGACAGGCATAAACATAAAACACTTTGTAGAACAGTGCTTTATAACGTTCATTGCATTTCTTTTATTAGTTGACCGGCAGTTCTGCCACATGCAATATGGCGGTCGCTCCGACGTACCGCTGCAACGGGTCAGCCCACTCAACGAGGAGTCCACTGACTCACAAGTTCTCTGTTGTGAACAACCTGACCGATGGTATTAGCCAATAAGTGATGGAGAAAGTTCAGGGGAGCATTGAACCATGATTGTTTGAAATGTAGGTTAACTCAAAAACCGCAGATCTGACTCCACTTCCGCCCAAATTATTCCAGCCCGTCCAAAGACAAAGCAATCTTTACCCACTAAATCAAAATGAAAACTGCCCAATCTGGTAAAACTGGGTGTGCTTCGAGTTTTTAAAGCTGAGGTCACCTGCAGATTGCAAACGCAGATGTAATTATAATGGTCCGTGTACATTCAGGCAGTTCGTTTATTCGTTAGAAACTAAAAATGAAAAAACAAAAACACACTTGTTTTTTCATTTTTTGTTCACTAAACCAAAATGAACAAATCTGATGAGCGAGTGTCATCCGATTTTGTGCACAAAACGAAAATGAAAATAAAGGATAACGGGCACTCGGTTTTGGTTTCATGATTTTTTGACAAGTGGTCTGACCCGGAAGTTCTCTCTGCCCCGCACCATGAAGCTTGCTCCTTGTGTACACACATCAACAACTGCGGTGAATTAATTTGATTTTTACCCACAGAAAACCATATATATACTGATTTTTTTTTTTTAATTTGTATGTAGATTAAAACGCATAAGAACAGGGAAAATACCGAGAGACTCTGCATGTTCTCTGTGCTGGCTGCAGAGACCTTGGACCTCAGGAAACACAGAAGCCATAAGTCTGGTCCTGAAAGTGGACAATCTTTTCAGAACAAGGACTCGTCTTGGACAGTAGTTTGGTGCAAGTTTTGTGTGTGTGGGTCAAAAGACATGGAGGCTATTGAGCAAAAACTCCGATTTGTGAAAAATTAAACTATGTAAAATTATGAAATGCATAAAAAATGAAAAATAAACAGGTGTGCCTGTCTGACTCGTCTTGGAGAGTAGTTTTATCGAAGTTTTGGGTGAGTGGGGCAAATCATGTCAAATATATTGCTTTTTGCTTCTGAAGAGTGACTGCGTTCGATCATTTGTTGACGGTCCCTAAGTGAACCATTCCGTCTCTTTGGGGCAGGTTGAGCGCGGCTGACCGAAATCAGACAGCCTGAAGCGGACTGACGAGAGCAACACCCCGCTGAAGCCGCGGAGCTCCAGCATCCAACGTAAAAGCAACTTAAGCGCGGCTGTTACCTCTCAGTGTCACCCTGTGTGACCTGGAGCTTTAGCATGCCTCTAGAGTTAGCACGTGGGAGCAGACCAGCCGCTCCAGCTCTTCACCCAAACATGAACCGACAGCCGGTTCTGTTCCAGCAGAACCTGCCGACACGAACCCACCTTCAGGAACTCTTTCTTTCCACCTGTGAGCTCAGAAACGCTGCTACGGTTCACACGAGCCACACACGGAGCACACGGGACAGCTGCTACTTCACACTGTGCGTGACCCGCGCGCACGCCTAACTAATCCGTTTCCGGTTTGGATTTCAAAATAAAACGCGATGTTTTTAATCGGCGCATTCGGACACAAAATAAATTGAATGCAGGATGGAAAGCACGCGCATACATGTGAACTCAGTTGTATATAAATTGCAGCATCGCTGCGGTGGTTAGCGTGAAGTCTCGTTTGGACTTTTTCCAGAGGTGTTCCACACTGTTTTCTGCTTGAGTGGGTCTGCTAATCAGCTCCATTCAACCTTTATTTCTTCTTCTTCTTTTGGCTTTTCCCTCTTCAGGGGCCTCCACAGCAAGTCATCCTCCTCCATCTCACTCTGTCCTCACTCCAACTACCTCCATGTCCTCTCCATTTACATCCACATGTCTCCTCTGTCTTTTTCCTGGCAGCTGCATTTCTAACGTCCTTCTACCAATATACCCACTGTCCCTCCTCTGGACATGTCCAAACCACTGTCCCTCCTCTGGACATGTCCAAACCACTGTCCCTCCTCTGGACATGTCCAAACCACTGTCCCTCCTCTGGACATGTCCAAACCACTGTCCCTCCTCTGGACATGTCCAAACCATCTCAGTGTGTCCTCTCTAACTTTATCTCCCAGTTCAACCAGTGCTGTACCTCTGATCATCTCATTCCTGATCTTCTCCATCCTTGTCTCTCCTAAGAAGAACCTCAACATCGTCATTTCTGCCACTTCCAGTTCTTTCTCCTGTCTTTTTGTCCATGTCTCTGTCTCCAGACCATACAACTTAGCTGGTCTCACCACTGTCTTGTAAACTTTTCCTTTGACCTTTGCCGACACCCTTTTGTCACAAATCACTCCTGAAACTTTTCTCCATCACTCCATCCTGCCTGGACTCTTTTCTTCACCTCTTCTCCACACTCCCCATGTTCCTGGACAGTGGACCCCAAGTCCTTGAAGTCCTGCACCTTTGTGACCTCTGCTCCTTGTAGCCTCACTGTTCCACCTCCTCCCTCTCATTCACACACATGTACTCTGTCTTACTATGGCTGACTTTCATTACTCTTCTTTCAAGTGCATACCTCCACCTCTCCAAGTTCTCTTCCACCTGTTCCTTGTTCTCACCACAGACCACAATGCCATCTGCAAACATGGGGATTCTTGCCTGACCTCATCTGTTAGTCGGTCCATCACCAGAGCAAACAAGAAGGGGCTCAGAGCTGATCCTTGATGCACTCCCACCTCCACCTTGTCCATTCAACCTTTATTTATACAGGTTAATCCCAATGAGCCAAGGGACTCACAAGAGACACCTGATTTTTAACAAAGTGTGATGACAGCAGTATACGATCATAAAGGATGGATACAAATTGAGAAGAAGTGAAAATAAAATGGTATTTAAAAAATGTAACAAAAAAAAAGACAGCTGGTTGTAAGGCAATGTAGAAAACTAAAAACAGGAACATGGCTGCATTGGTTTCTCCCAGGAACTTAACAGATGTTTAAGACCACTCAGGTCAAGGTCGAGAGCTTCAAATCTTTTTGTAAGATATTCCAAGAAACAGGAGCGGAGTAGGAGAAGGTCCTTTTGTCTAGTTCAGTCCTCACTGAGGGAACACTGCAGGTAATGATGTCCTGAGAGCGCACTCCGTAGCTGCACTCACACAGAGACATGTAGGAGGAGATGTATGAAGGCAGCAGACCAAGAAGTGATTTAAAGATGAAAATGTACCAGTGAGAGAGTCTGCGTGAAGTTAATGATGTCCAGTTAACCAGTGAATACTGGGTGCAGTGGTGGGTACGGTAGTTACAGCCAGTTATGAATCTTAGTGCACCATGATAGACAGCATCCAACATCTGCAGGGTTCTTGTAGGAGCGTTCATGTAAATCAGGGTCACCAACCTTTTTGAGACTGAAAGCTACTTCAGTGGGACTGAGAGAAACAAAGGGCTACTTGTTTGATCAAAACAAATGTGCACAACTCACCTTTAATATATTAATAATAATACATTTATCTTGATGCATGCTCAATAATCCAGGTAGAAAAATCTAAAAAACATCAAATCTGGTCCTCTGGACATTCAAAAAAATAAAAATAAAATATAAAAAATTGTAGAAACGTTTCGTCTCTCATCCGAGAGACTTCCTTAGTCTGAGGTGCTGTATTCAGCTCAGTCTCTTAAATAGCACCGTCTCAGGGTGGATCAACCAGTTTTGCTACTGACAACCAAAACCAGCTGATCACATGCTCAAGAAGGACCATCAGCCTAACAATGGATCATTAGCACACTGAAGGCTGATTACTATTCACAGAGGGCTGAGTGATACTAGCAATCACTGTAAGGATCCAGCCCTGCACCCTGCCTTTCTCTCTCCTCATCACTCCTAATTGGCTCCAGCTGCAGATGATCAGTTCAACACCCAGGAGGAGTATAAGAAGATTCAGGAACCACTCTGCAGGCGCTGGGACATTGCCTACCAACGGTAGTAGTGTTCTGGCCAATATTCAGTGATATTAGTAAATACTAATATTGTGTTTTTCCTCTGCGCTTCCTCAGAGTTTGGATCTAGTTGTGCCTGCCCTGCCTGAGTTCCACATGAACTGTGACTCCTCCTGCCTAGCTACAATTGCTGGATGCCTTCCACCACTTGCCTCAATCTACTTGTTTGCTTCACCTTGTGCCACTGGACATCTTCAGGATAATACCTTCACCTGCTTCACACCGTAAGAATAAATCTATAAGATATATTCTCATTCAACCGCAGCCCTCTAAATCATCGCTCTCTCTCCAGGTGTTCCCGTTCCCCTCATTCATATTGTGTATATATATCACCAACCTGTAAATAAACACTTTAAACTATTCTCTGAGTCCTGGTCTCTGTTCAGTTCTGGTCTTTCATTCTGGGTACACCGCAATCATTACAGAATGTCCCAGCCAAACCAAGTACCCTTGAAAGATTCTGGATCTGAACAGAACCAACTCACACTTCAGAATATGTTACAGAGAGTAGAGAAAAATGAAGCCACTCTTGAACGCCTGTTAAACCTGCTACAAACTAACCAGTCTAATCTCCAGGAACTGGGCAGCATGTTGTTTTCAGTTAAACAAGGGATGACTCAGCTCCTGCCACCTGCTGCTACACCTACACCTGAGGTCAGTCTTCCTATTTCTAATATTCCCCAAGTGACCACCACAGAGCAAAATTTAAAACCGGCAGAACTTTTTTGTGGAGAGCCTGAGATGTGGGGGGGTTTTGTACTCCAGTGCGAGTTAACTTTTCAGAGAGCACCCAGTCTTTACTCTTCAGATGCTGCCAAGATTTCATTTTTTATCACCCAGTTAAAGGGGGACGCATTACGTTGGGCTCATGCTCATTTATCCTCTCACCCTGTCAGTACCTTAAGCTTTGCCTCACTTCTGGAAGAATTCAAGCGCGTGTTCGATCAACCTCTCCAACGAGCTGAAGCAGTAAAACGTCTACTCACCCTTCGTCAAGGCAGACGCTCCGTTACGGCTCATGCTCTGGAGTTCAGAATCACCGCCGCCCGAACCGGATGGGGAGAGGTCGCACTCAGAGGTACCTTCCTACACTCTCTTTCCAACTCCATAAGAGATCACTTAGCGGCATTAGAGGAACCACGAAGTTTGGACGAGCTAATTCAGTTAGCCACACGTATTGACAATCAACTGCAAGAACGAAGGTGGGAGAAAGACTACGATTCCCAGAACCCGCCTACTTCCGGTTTTCCCTCTACATCAAAACGTCGAACTGTTTACAATAGAAAAGACTACATTTCCCAGAGTTCCACTGCTTCCGGTTTTCACTCCACACCGAGACAGCCACCTGCATTAATGTTAGAAAACAAACCTGACTCAGAACCAGAACCTATGCAGCTGGGTCGCACTCGCCTCTCTCCAGAAGAGAGACGAAGAAGAATAAACAATAAAGCTTGTATCTATTGTGGTGAACAAGGACATTTCATTGCTCGTTGCCCACTCTTGGGAAACGGCCCCTCTCACCAATAAAGCAGGAGATATTGGTGAGAAACTCTTCTTCTTCTCCTGCCTCTCGCTTGGAACTCAATACCACCATTATCGTTAATAGAGAAAGGAAATCAGTTGTTGCTCTAGTGGATTCGGGGGCCGAGCAGAACCTCATTAGCCAGGACTTGGTGGAGCTCCTATCCATCCCCACACAACTTCTCCCCACGCCACTGACAATGGCTGGGTTAACAGGTCAAAAGTTCGCTTCAGTGTTTAAAAAGACTGTACCAGTACACCTCATGATCTCCGGGAACCATCATGAACACAGTGAATTCTTTGTATTCGAGTCACCAGTTACACAGCTTGTCTTGGGTTTTCCTTGGCTTAAGGATCACAACCCCATAATTAATTGGAGGGTTAAAAGAATAGAACAGTGGAGCCCACATTGTTTAATGAACTGTTTAAGAACTGCTGTTCCCTCCACTATTAAACATCCTGAGGCACCCGATCCAGTCGATATGTCTAAAATTCCTAGTGTTCACCATGACCTTGCCCCTGCATTTAGTAAACAAAAGGCCCTGTCATTACCATCGCACCGTCCTTATGACTGTGCTATTGATTTACTACCAGGGGCTCCTCTTCCTTCTAGCCGCCTTTACAATTTGTCTGGTCCAGAACGTGACTCTATGAAAGAATATATCTGTAGATGAACAGATGCTGGGATATATTCATCATTTAACGCGGGTTCCTCATTTTTCTGGACTGAATAAAACGTGCATTGAATTTAAGGAAATGCAAACGTGAGACGTCATTTAGATTTGACCCATCAAAATGAATGCGGTCATTTATTTACAGAATCAAATTTAACATCAAACATTTACATTAATTTGGCAAATTATGAAAATAACAATATAAGCAATCAATCAGGAAAAATCATACGGCCATGATTTTTCCGTTGCTGCACCACAGACATTTATAAAACTGTACAACTATGATCTTTTACCCACACGGATGTGAATAAGCACTTTACACAGACATTTCTAAATATCTGGGAGAATTT